TGAATATTCTCATAATGAAACTAACCACATTTTACATCTTTTACCATTATTATTCTATTTTTAACTCCAAAACAAGGATAACTTATAACTTTCTTATTTTGTTAAATTTAATTTTGATTTTATCTTCTATTTATCTCCTGGGGCAACTGAAACGATAAATGCATTTCTTTCATTTGAAGCTAAGAGTCTTACATACCCTAAAGCAATCATCTTTTGGCAATAATGATTTAGAAACTGTCAAAACTTATAACAAGATGACTTGAATCTTATCCATTAAACCAAAAACCTTTAGCATCAACTTGTTACGCTGATGAGAAATTGAAGTTTCTAGTTTTGCCGCATTGGCTGCCATTAAAATAATTAGGTTACTTCTTATGCAAATAAATACACGGGGATCAGCATCAAGTGCATATGAAATTCAATAGCAACATAGAATCATTAAAGAGAGAAAGTGACCTGATAGATAACTTCATTAAGCTCATCTTTCAGTAGTAGAGTAAATAATTATTTATTTAAATTGTTTATTTAATTATTTTTTTTTCATGAATTTTTAAAGTTGTTTACAAAAAAAATTTAATTGCTTATGTAATATTTATATTAATTTTTTATTTTACTAGTTTGTCGCCCGTGCAATGCACGGGTTGGATTATTTTGAACGTGATGTTAGCGTTTCTAATATTGATATGAGTTTAGTGATTAAAGAAATCAAATGAATAAGTTGGCGTTTATGTGGTCTATCAAACAGATGGAATTGTCCATTTAATTAGAAATTAGGGCCTATTTGATAGCACGGAATTTTCTATGGACGTGGCAATTCGATTTCCATTTTCCACTTTTAAGCTGTTTGGTAGGCTAAATTTTGTATGGAATTCATTTTCCACCCTTAACCTCATTTTCCACCTAATTTTTGGTTTTCCTTGAAAACCAATTCTCACCAATGGTTTTCCAGGCTACTTTTTTTTTGGCAATTGGAATGAATTTTATTCCCAATTGTAACAAATTATTTCCTTTTAATTGACAATTTTCATAAAAACAAAGCCAAACGAATGGTTTTCAGTGGTAATTTTTGTTTTTTGGCAATTGGAAGAAATTTTAGGCCTAATGGTAAAAAAATTATCACCTCAATGGATAATTTTCATGAAAAACGAAGCCAAACGAACACCAAACTTTCAACATTTTCCAGTGAAAAATTATACCAATCAAACACAATTAATTACAATTCCCAATAAAACAAATTTTAGGCAATTAAATTCCCTATAATTCATTTTCTTTTCATCCAAATTTCACATTTGCAATCAAACGGACCCTTAGTGACATGTAGACAATTGAAGCGGGCTTGCTCTAGTCTCCTGCAATTGAAGCGCCATAAACCCCTCTCCCAAGTGAGTTGAAACTCTTAAGCAACAATAGACGGCTGCAGAGGACCTACTATGCCATTCATTGTTATATATCTCTCTTTTATGTTTTTCTTAAGCTCCAGATCAAATTAGCCAATTTTAAATTTGACTACTCAATCAAATCCATTAATTTTTATGGGTCCCACTACTTTTACTCTTTTTTCAACGACACATTCCAAAAATTTAATTAGTCTTTTTGAATTATTAGCTCCACCAAATGGGGGCTCAATGTAGTCTATATGTTTTTGATTTTTTTCTTATTTGGATTCTTTTCTTCTAAAGTTACGGCAAGACAAAATCTTGACTAGTTGGTATGTTGTTTCATTTGTTTAGACATTTATAATATTCTACTTTGTTGCCTATTCTTATGTGTAGATCCCTTATTTCACTCCAATAGAATCATCGATCATATATTATTCCATTATAAATATTAGCCCCTGTTTGTGCTCCATTAAAAATGCATTTTGAGGGAAAATATGTTTTGGAATAGTAATTTTTTTGAGAAATGCGTGGTTAAAAAAATGGAAAAGTTTTAGGTGTGATATTATTTTATTGGAGAATGTATGGTTAAAAATAAGAAAGAAAAATATATTTTTTGATTAATGGAGCCCAAACAAGGGCTTAATTGAAGATCTTATTGGAGCTTTCTTGAATAAAATTAACTCCCTTTGATATTCTATGTTCTACATGACCAATTCTATTTCCTATATTTCCCAATTCTTGGCATTGCCCTACCAGTGGTGTGTAGATGTAGAAGGTCCACAGGGAACTTGTGTCATGTAAAAGAAGCAGATATGGTACGTGGGAAATAAGCATCTTCTAGCTCCGTGCCAACATTGAAATGCTTTATTATGGACGTTGTAGATAGTTTGCGGTTTATTATAAGTATTAATTTTTTATTTTGTAGCTTTTAAAATTATTGGCTCATATTAAGGATTACAATTTAACACACCTCAAGGACAAAACACTGTCAACTAATCTGTCTAGTATTATGCATTCTTGATGATACAAGGGAGTATTCCCTGTCATTATTCTTGATTAGTGTGAAAGGAATCTAAGTTCTCCTTATGTGATTTTTTCTTTTTTCCCTGGTATACTTAATGAGATGTAAATAGAAACAGAAGTATGCCTTTTGTCATTCTTTCTTGTTATCTTAACTGTGAACTCCTGATATTTCCAGAGCCTCTTGATATCCTAGAAGGTTGGGTCCTTAAATTATTCGGTGGCGTCAAGAAAGGCTCTTTGATTAAGCCAGATACATGTTTAGATGGTCCTATTTGGAAAACTGGCAAAATCTATAAATTAGAGGCAGATAAAGATGTTCATTCACTTAATTTGTCATGGACATTACCTTCCCTACAAGAATATTATCCAACGAAGGCTGAAGAGTACTTTTCTCATCTCCTTGGACATGGTAAGATGGTTTTCTGCTGTTAAAATTTCTTTCGTTGGTTGGTCATTTCCATCTTTAAGGAAATGATAGAACGTTT